CACGCACACACACACACACACACACACACACACACACACACACACACACACACACACACACACACACACACTCAGAGTCTGTTTTTTAGCACCTGCAAAAACATGCTATTTACATATTTGACAACAATGCAGAGGCTTCCTTTTGCCCCTGAAAAAAATCAAATTTCTAACACAACTTGACTGCTCATTTCTCCAAAAGACAACCATGAAGCTCCATCCAAACCTGAAGCAGGCAGTTGGTGCATGTGTACAGTAACCTGAGGGGAGTGAGGTGACTGCTTCTGAGGAGAACATGAGCAGTGAAGATTCACCTTGGAGCGAGAACAGGGACGTGCACATGATTATACAGGGGCAGGGGCTCAAGTTTTTTCCAGTCGTTTATACGATATGGAAATTAATGTGAAATTAAAAAACAAAGTATTAATAGAAAGGTAATGACTGTCCTGTGTAGGTGACAGTGATATCCAATAGGCTAGGCACTCACGAGGCTGGCTGTGGCAAGTGTAAGTGAAAGCAACACGCACTGGCAGGAAGAAAAGCAAACGCCGATGAAGGAAAAGGGTCTTTGCAGTGATGGGCGTTACCAGAGAGGACGATGGCCAGAGGACGCGAATGGGACGGGGAGGCAGCGCGTTGGGGGGGCGACACAGCTCGGGCCCGCCAGTGCCCCAACGGGGCCCTAGTTATTATTAGGGCCCGAGCCAGCTGCAGAGCAGCCGGGCGTAGAGCCCTATTATTCCTGTATGGGTTCTTCTTTCTTCTTTAGGGCCCAAGCGTAGCTGCTAAGCAGCTGCGAGAGCCCTGAAGGAATTTTTACTTCCCAAAAGAGCGCCCCCCCATGGCAGGAGAAAAAAGTCCATTTTTTCTTGTCCCCTAAGGTGAAAATACACATTGTTGAGTGTCACGCCTATACGCTTTGTCAAAATGACACAAAAATTGACACACACATGTAACTCAATAAGATCTACGAAAAAGTCAATGCGCGCGTATCTGTCAAATGTACGGTTAAAGGGTTATTCCGCATTTTTTGCCGATCCGCACACATTGGAATGTGGCTAACTCCTCCTAAGGCTTTCGTTCCACCGGCACCACATTTGCTCAGGCCAATCTACACCCCATGGCCATTAAAAGTTATTCAAATCATGACGCTGCACCCCACGGTTTAGGTTCTAGGGGGCACCAAAGATAACCCTAAAATCCACATATTTAAAAGTCTTATAACTTTTTATTTTTGCCCTCACTGGCCTCCAAGTTTTCTAGGATGATGCAATGTCCAGCCATCAACACATTTGTGAAGGAATTTTTACTCCCCAAAAGAGCGCCCCCCCATGGCAGGAGAAAAAAGTCCATTTTTTCTTGTCCCCTAAGGTGAAAGTACACATTGTTGACTGTCACGCCTGTACGCTTTGGCAAAATGACACAAAAATTGACACACACATGTATCTCAATAAGATCCATGAAAAAGTCAATGCGCCCGTATCTGTCAAATGTACGGTTAAAGGGTTATTCCGCATTTTTTGCCGATCCGCACACATTGGAATTTCGCTAACTCCTCCTAAGGCTTTCGTTCCACCGGCAACACATTTGCTCAGGCCAATCTACACCCCATGGCCATTAAAAGTTGTAAAAATCATGACGCTGCACCCCACGGTTTCGGTTCTAGGGGGCGCCAAAGATAACTTTAAAATCCACATATTTAAAAGTCTTATAACTTTTTATTTTTGTTCTCACTGGCCTCCAAGTTTTGTAGGATGATGCAATGTCCAGCCATCAACACATTTGTGAAGGAATTTTTACTCCCCAAAAGAGCGCCCCCCCCCCCATGGCAGGAGAAAAAAGTCGCTTTTTTTCTTGTCCCCTAAGGTGAAAATACACATTGTTGAGATTCACGCCTGTACGCTTTGTCATATTGACAAAAAATTTGACACACACGTGTATCTCAATAAGATCTATGAAAAAGTCAATGGGCGCGTATCTGAAAAATGTACGGCTAAAGGGCTATTTTGCATTTTTTGCCGATTCGCACACATTGGAATGTGGCTAACTCCTCCTAAGGCTTTCGTCCAACTGACACCAAATTTGCTCAGGCCAATCTACACCCCATGGCCATTCAAAGTTGTAAAAATCATGCCGCTGCACCCCATGGTTTACGTTCTAGGGGGCGCCAAAGATGACCCAAATATCCACATTCTTAAAAGTCGTTTTGGCCACTGCAGGAGTACAGAGTACTGCAGGAAACACACACACAGACACACACACACACAGACACACACACACACGCACACACACACACACACACACACACACACTCAGAGTCTGGTTTTTAGCACCTGCAAAAACATGCTATTTACATATTTGACAAGAATGCAGAGGCTCCTTTTGCCCCTGAAAAAAATCAAATTTCAAACACAACTTGACTGGTCATTTCTCCAAAAGACAACCATGAAGCTCCATCCAAACCTGAAGCAGGCAGTTGGTGCATGTGTACAGTAACCTGAGGGGAGTGAGGTGAGTGCTTCTGAGGAGAACATGAGCAGTGAAGATTCACCTTGGAGCTAGAACAGAGACATGCACATGATTATACAGGGGCAGGGGCTCAAGTTTTTTCCAGTCGTTTATACAATATGGAAATTAATGTGAAATTAAAACACAAAGTATTAATAGAAAGGTAATGACTGTCCTGTGTAGGTGACAGTGATATCCAATAGGCTAGGCACTCACGAGGCTGGCTGTGGCAAGTGTAAGTGAAAGCAACACGCACTGGCAGGAAGAACAGCAAACGCCGATGAAGGAAAAGGGTCTTTGCAGTGATGGGCGTTACCAGAGAGGGCGATGGCCAGAGGACACAAATGGGACGGGAAGGCAGCACGTTGGGGGGGGGGCGCGACACGGCTCGGGCCCGCCAGTGCCCCAACGGGGTCCTAGTTATTTTTCTGCCCCTTTGAACTGGAAAATGGCCCACTTCCCACTGGTGAAAACTCATGAAATTTGGCAGGACGACCGGCCCTGGTGAAAAATTCGATATTCTGAAGTCGCCAGAACAATCAAATGCAAAATGGCTCCATAGCGCCCCCTAAGGTGAAAAATTCACATGATTGAGTGTCACACCTGTACGCTTTGTCAAAATGACACAAAATTTGACACACAGATGTATCTCAATAAGATCTACAAAAAAGTCAACGCGGGCGTATCTGTCAAATGTACGGTTAAAGGGCTATTTTGCATTTTTTGTCAATCCGCACACAGTGGAATTTCGCTAACTCCTTCGAAGGCTTTCGTTCCACCGGCACCACATTTGCTCAGGCCAATCTACACCCCATGGCCATTAAAAGTTATCAAAATCATGACGCTGCACCCCACGGTTTAGGTTCTAGGGGGCGCCAAAGATAACCCAAAAATCCACATTCTTAAAAGTCTAATAACTTTTTATTTTTGTCCTCACTGGCCTCCAAGTTTTCTAGGATGATGCAATGTCCAGCCATCAACACATTTGTGAAGGAATTTTTACTCCCCAAAAGAGCGCCCCCCCATGGCAGGAGAAAAAAGTCCATTTTTTCTTGTCCCCTAAGGTGAAAATACATATTGTTGAGTGTCACGCCTATACGCTTTGTCATATTGACACAAAATTTGACACACACGTGTATCTCAATAAGATCTACAAAAATTCTATGTGCACGTATCTGTCAAATGTACGGTTAAAGGGCTATTTCGCATTTTTTGCCGATCCACACACATTGGAATTTCGCTAACTCCTCCGAAGGCTTTCGTTCCACCGGCACCACATTTGCTCAGGCCAATCTACACCCCATGGCCATTAAAAGTTGTACAAATCATGACGCTGCACCCCACGGTTTACATTCTAGGGGGCGCCAAAGATAACCCAAAAATCCACATTCTTAAAACTCTTATAACTTTTCATTTTTGTCCTCACTGGCTTCCAAGTTTTCTAGGATGATGCATTGTCTAGCCATCAACACATTTGTGAAGGAATTTTTACTCCCCAAAAGAGCGCCCCCCCATGGCAGGAGAAAAAGTCAAGTTTTTCCTGCCCATCGCTCAATGGCTCAAACACATGTCATGTGTTCAAACTCCTCCGAAAGGAGGAGCAACTTGCCATTTGGATATATCCTAGCTGTGTTTGTGCCCTCACTCATGATCCAGACTTTTTTCAAATAGGACATGTAGTTTGTCTGCAGCGAGCGTTTTGGCAGAAACTGCGCCTCCCATTCATTATAATGGTAAATGACCACAGACAAGTGCGAACACCATCTTTGGACCTTGAGTGTGATGCGATCGGGAGGGAGAGGCGGTCGTGTTGGGGGCGGCGCGACACAGCTCGGGCCCGCCAGTGCCCCAACGGGGCCCTAGTTAGGGCCCGAGCGTAGCTGCTAAGCAGCTGCGAGAGCCCTCTTGTTCCTGATGGATTCTTCTTTCGTTATTTTTCCTCCGCTTTAAACTGGAAAATGGCCCACTTCCCACTGACGAAAACTCAGGAAATTTGGCAGGACGACCGGGCCTGGTGAAAAATTTGATATTCTGAAGTCGCTCAAACAAAAAAATGAAAAATGGCTCCATAGCGCCCCCTATGGTGAAAACTCACCTGACACCTGTACGCTTTGTCAAAATGACACAAAATTTGACACACATGTGTATCTCAATAAGATCTACAAAAAAGTCAGTGTGGGCGTATCTGTCAAATGTACGGTTAAAGGGCTATTTCGCTTTTTTTGCCGATCCGCACACATAGGAATTTCGCTAACTCCTCCGAAGGCTTTCGTTCCACCGGCACCAAATTTGCTCAGGCCAATCTACACCCCATGACCATTAAAAGTTGTACAAATCATGACGCTGCACCCCACGGTTTAGGTTCTAGGGGGCGCCAAAGATAACCCAAAAATCCACATTCTTAAAAGTCTTATAACTTTTTATTTTTGTCCTCACTGGCCTCCAAGTTTTCTAGGATGATGCAATGTCCAGCCATCAACACATTTGTGAAGAAATTTTAACTCTCCAAAAGAGCGCCCCCCCATGGCAGGAGAAAAAAGTCCATTTTTTCTTATCCCGAAAGGTGAAAATACACATTGTTGACTGTCACGCCTTTACGCTTTGTCATATTGACAAAAAATTTGACAATCACATGTATCTCAATAAGATCTATGAAAAAGTCAATGGGCACGTAAGTGTAAAATGTACGGTTAAAGGGCTATTTTGCATTTTTTGCCGATTCGCACACATTGGAATTTCGCTAACTCCTCCTAAGGCTTTCGTCCCACTGACACCAAATTTGCTCAGGCCAATCTACACTCCATGGCCATTCAAAGTTGTAAAAATCATGACGCTGCACCCCACGGTTTACGTTTTAGGGGGCGCCAAAGATGACCCAAATATACATTACAGCAGACAAAGTAGTTTTGCCCACTGAGTGGCGCCAAAGGGACTAGTCTGTGGAGTCTGTGAGTCACTATTGGCCTTTTTTGACTACTTTAGATTTTACCTTTATATTTCCTCTTAAAATTTTTTTACCTTGCCTTGCCTGGTATCATTTTTTTCAGCACAACCTCACCTGTGTGAATTTACAGTTATTTTATCATTTTGACATACTGTATTTACACAATGGACCCAAATTCACACACAAAACATAAAATCCGAGTGGAAAAAAGTAACATTTTTACTGTGAAAACCACAAATATGTGTGATGAACTGTTTTTAAAACTTAAACTTCAAATAAAAATTGTAAACTTCAAAACATATGCAAATTTTTAACAAAGAACATAGTAATTTACCTCTATTTACATCAAAATGCAGGCAATGGCCCAGGCGTTCTTTGTAAAATTATTTACAAAACACTGTATAGTCTCACAAATGTCACTTTTTATTTATGCCACTACAAAAAAACATGATGTAAATGATGCATGATGTAAAACATGATGTAAAAAACTTGTGTAGATCCTCCTCTATGTCAGTCCATGTGTAATTTTTCCATAATTCTTTGTTTTTTGCAGCTTTTTTGTTAGTGTAACTGCAGATTGTGCTGACAGTGTCTATGGCAAAAAAAAAAAAAAAACTGAAAATGCCTCAACATGAACCCCTGGTGGTCTCTGAGGGTGAAACCTGCTAACTGCTGCAGCTCTGTCAGCTTCAGTCTCCCATGCAGAGCTCGGAGCTCATGTGTGTCTCTGCACCCTTAGCAGCGTTGCTAACTCCTCAGTAAGGAAAGCCTGCTTCATGTCAGAGTTTCTAAACTCCAGAAGAAGTCGATAAAAGTCCCTTTCTTTCTAAAAAAAAAGTCGTTAGGGGGTCTGAAAAGTCATTGAATCTACAACAAAGTCGCTAGGTTTGCAACTACGTGTCCCAGACTGCATCCCTGCTGAGAGTCCCTCCCTCCCTTCTCATATTGCAGGAAGAACGTAAGCGCCCGCCCCTTGTCAATCAGTCACCATATAATTTTGGATTGGTTGTTGTGGTGAAGTTTTCCACCAATAGGAGAGATGTTGTGGTGTGTTTTTTTTTTCTTTTGGCAAGCCTTTTCCGCCTGTAAGAGCTGTCGCTAATGTCTGCATGCTATGTTTTCCTGTCTCATACAGCGCGATCGAGCGCCGAACGTGATCAAAATAAGCAGAAAACAAGTATCGCGGACATAATTTATCATAACTCTGGTTTTATTTGGCCTATCAACACAATTTAAAAACTGGTATATAGGTTGAGATCCTCACTTTTGAGATAAGTTGAAACGGAGAGTCAACGAGGCTCCGTCTTGCAGCTACATCCGGTTAAATATGTCATGTGACTTGAACGCGCACACACACACACACACACACACACACACAGACACACACACACACGCACACACACACACTCAGAGTCTGGTTTTTAGCACCTGCAAAAACATGCTATTTACATATTTGACAAGAATGCAGAGGCTCCTTTTGCCCCTGAAAAAAATCAAATTTCAAACACAACTTGACTGGTCATTTCTCCAAAAGACAACCATGAAGCTCCATCCAAACCTGAAGCAGGCAGTTGGTGCATGTGTACAGTAACCTGAGGGGAGTGAGGTGACTGCTTCTGAGGAGAACATGAGCAGTGAAGATTCACCTTAGAGCTAGAACAGAGACGTGCACATGATTATACAGGGGCAGGGGCTCAAGTTTTTTCCAGTTGTTTATACAATATGGAAATTAATGTGAAATTAAAAAACAAAGTATTACTAGGGCCCCGGTGGGGCACTGTCGGGCCCGAGCCGCGTCGCGCCGCCCCCAGCGCGACCGCCTCCCCCTCCCGATCGCGTCACACTCAAGGTCCAAAGATGGTGTGCGCACTTGTCTGTGGTCATTTCCCATTATAATGAATGGGAGGCGCAGTTTCTACCAAAACGCTCGCTGCAGACAAACTACATGTCCTATTTGAAAAAAGTCTGGACCATGAGTGAGGGCACAAACACAGCTAGTATATATCTAAATGGCAAGTTGCTCCTCCTTTCGGTTTTGCAGAGAGAGCGATGCGTTTGAGCCATTGAGCGATGGGCAGGAAAAACTTGACTTTTTCTCCTGCCATGGGGGGGCGCTCTTTTGGGGAGAAAAAATTCCTTCACAAATGTGTTGATGGCTGGACATTGCATCATCCTAGAAAACTTGGAGGCCAGTGAGGACAAAAATAAAAAGTTATAAGACTTTTAAAAATGTGGATATTTGGGTCCTCTTTGGCGCCCCCTAGAACGTAAACTGTGGGGTGCAGCGTCATGATTTGTACAACTTTGAATGGCCATGGGGTGTAGATTGACCTGAGCAAATTTGAAGCCGATGGGACAAAAGATTTAGGAGGAGTTAGCGAAATTCCAATGTGTGCGGATCGGCAAAAAATGCGAAATAACCCTTTAACCGTACATTTGACAGATACGCCCGCACTGACTTTTTTGTAGATCTTATTGAGATACATGTGTGTGTCAAATTTTGTGTCATTTTGACAAAGCGTAAAGGCGTGACAGTCAACAATGTGTATTTTCGCCTTAGGAGACAAGAAAAAATGGACTTTTTTCTCCTGCCATGGGGGGGGCGCTCTTTTGGCGAGTAAAAATTCCTACACAAATGTGTTGATGGCTGGACATTGCATCATCCTAGAGAACTTGGAGGCCAGTGAGGACAAAAATAAAAAGTTATAAGACTTTTAAGACTGTGGATTTTTGGGTTATCTTTGGCGCCCCCTAGAACGTAAACCGTGGGGTGCAGCGTCATGATTTGTACAACTTTTAATGGCCATGGGGTGTAGATTGGCCTGAGCAAATGTGGTGCCTTTGGAACGAAAGCCTTCGGAGGAGTTAGCGAAATTCCAATGTGTGCGGATCGGCAAAAAATGCGAAATAACCCTTTCACCGTACATTTGACAGATACGCCCGCACTGACTTTTTTGTAGATCTTATTGAGATACATGTGTGTGTCAATTTTTGTGTCAATATGACAAAGCGTAAAGGCGTGACAGTCAATAGTGTGAATTTTCGCCTTAGGAGACAAGAAAAAATGGACTTTTTTCTCCTGCCATGGGGGGGCGCTCTTTTGGGGAGTAAAAATTCCTTCACAAATGTGTTGATGGCTGGACATTGCATCATCCTAGAAAACTTGGAGGCCAGTGAGGACAAAAATAAAAAGTTATACGACTTTTAAGAATGTGGATTTCTGGGTTATCTTTGGCGCCCCCTAGAACGTAAACCGTGGGATGCAGCGTCATGATTTGTACAACTTTTAATGGCCATGGGGTGTAGATTGGCCTGAGCAAATGTGGTGCCGGTGGAACGAAAGCCTTCGGAGGAGTTAGCGAAATTCCAATGTGTGCGGATCGGCAAAAAATGCGAAATAGCCCTTTAACCGTACATTTGACAGATACGCCCGCACTGACTTTTTTGTAGATCTTATTGAGATACACGTGTGTGTCAAATTTTGTGTCATTTTGACAAAGCGTACAGGCGTGACACTCAATCATGTGAATTTTTCACCTTAGGGGGCGCTATGGAGCCATTTTGCATTTGATTTTTTGGGCGACTTCAGAATATCGAATTTTTCACCAGGCCCGGTCGTCCTGCCAAATTTCATGACTTTTCACCAGTGGGAAGTGGGCCATTTTCCAGTTCAAAGGGGCAGAAAAATAATAAGAAGAAGAAGAAGAAAGAAGAATCCATCAGGAATAATAGGGCTCTCGCAGCTGCTTAGCAGCTACGCTCGGGCCCTAAATAGAAAGGTAATGACTGTCCTGTGTAGGTGACAGTGATATCCAATAGGCTAGGCACTCACGAGGCTGGCTGTGGCAAGTGTAAGTGAAAGCAACACGCACTGGCAGGAAGAACAGCAAACGCCGATGAAGGAAAAGGGTCTTTGCAGTGATGGGCGTTACCAGAGAGGGCGATGGCCAGAGGAAACAAATGGGATGGGGAGGCAGCGCGTTGGGGGGGGGACGCGACACAGCTCGGGCCCGCCAGTGCCCCAACGGGGTCCTAGTTATTTTTCCTCCGCTTTAAACTGGAAAATGGCCCACTTCCCACTGGCGAAAACTCAGGAAATTTGGCAGGACGACCGGGCCTGGTGAAAAATTCGATATTCTGAAGTCGCCCAAACAATAAAATGCAAAATGGCTCCATAGCGCCCCCTAAGGTGAAAATTCACATGACGGCTGTACGCTTTGTCATATTGACACAAAAATTGACACACACATGTATCTCAATAAGGTCTACAAAAAAGTCAGTGTGGGCGTATCTGTCAAATGTACGGTTAATGGGTTATTTTGCATTTTTTGCAGATCTGCACACATTGGAATTTCGTTAACTCCTCCGAAGGCTTTCGTTCGACCGGCACCACATTTGCGCAGGCCAATCTACCCCCCATGGCCATTAAAAGTTGTACAAATCATAACGCTGCACCCCACGGTTTACGTTCTAGGGGGCGCCAAAGATAACCCAAAAATCCACATTCTTAAAAGTCTTATAACTTTTTACTTTTGTCCTCACTGGCCTCCAAGTTTTCTAGGATGATGCAATGTCCAGCCATCAACACATTTGTGAAGGAATTTTTACTCCCCAAAAGAGGGCCCCCCAATGGCAGGAGAAAAAGGTCCATTTTTTCTTGTCTCCTAAGGTGAAAATACACATTGTCGAGTGTCACGCCTGTATGCTTTGTCATATTGACACAAAATTTGACAATCACGTGTATCTCAATAAGATCTATGAAAAAGTCAAAGGGCATGTATCTGTCAAATGTACGGTTAAAGGGCTATTCCGCATTTTTTGCCGATCCGCACACATTGGAATGTGGCTAACTCCTCCTAAGGCTTTCGTTCCACTGGCACCACATTTGCTCAGGCCAATCTACACCCCATGGCCATTCAAAGTTATTCAAATCATGACGCTGCACCCGACGGTTTACGTTCTAGGGGGCGCCAAAGATAACCCTAAAATCCACATATTTCAAAGTCTTATAACTTTTTATTTTTGTCCTCACTGGCCTCCAAGTTTTCTAGGATGATGCAATGTCCAGCCATCAACACATTTGTGAAGGAATTTTTACTCCCCAAAAGAGCGCCCCCCCATGGCAGGAGAAAAAAGTCAATTTTTTCTTGTCCCATAAGGTGAAAATACACATTGTTGACTGTCATACCTGTACGCTTTTTCATATTGACACAAAATTTGAGAATCACATGTATCTCAATAAGATCTACGAAAAAGTCAATGCGCGCGTATCTGTAAAATGTACGGTTAAAGGGCTATTTTGCATTTTTTGCCGATTCGCACACATTGGAATGTGGCTAACTCCTCCTAAGGCTTTCGTCCCACTGACACCAAATTTGCTCAGGCCAATCTACACCCCATGGCCATTCAAAGTTGTAAAAATCATGACGCTGCACCCCACGGTTTACGTTCTAGGGGGCGCCAAAGATGACCCAAATATCCACATTCTTAAAAGAATCCACATTCCCCCCCCCCCCCCCCATCCCCCATCCCCCATCCCCCATCCCCCATGGCAGGAGAAACAGTCAAGTTTTTCCTTCCCATCACTCAATGGCTCAATCGCATCGCTCTCCCGGCAACACCGTAACGAGGAGCAACTTGCCGTTTGGATATATCCTAGCTGTGTTTGTGCCCTCACTCATGGATCAGACTTTAGTTTGTCTGTAGCGAGTGTTTTGGTAGAAACTGCGCCTCCCATTCATTATAATGGGAAATGACCACAGACAAGTGCGCACACCATCTTTGGACCTTGAGTGTGACGTGATCGGGAGGGGGAGGCGGTCGCGCTGGGGGCGGCGCGACGCGGCTCGGGCCCGACAGTGCCCCACCGGGGCCCTAGTTCTTTCTTTCTTTCTTTCTTTCTTTCTTTCTTCTTATTTTTCCTCCCCTTTGAACGGGAAAATGGCCCACTTCCCACTGGCGAAAACTCATGAAATTTGGCAGGACGACCGGGCCTGGTGAAAAATTTGATATTCCGAAGTCGCCCAAACAAGAAAATGCAAAATGGCTCCATAGCGCCCCCTAAGGTTAAAATTCACACTATTGACTGTCACGCCTGTACGCTTTGTCAAAATGACACAAAAATTGACACACACATGTATCTCAATAAGATCTACAAAAAAGTCAGTGCGGGCGTATCTGTCAAATGTACGGTTAAAGGGTTATTCCGCATTTTTTGCCGATCCGCACACATTGGAATTTCGCTAACTCCTCCGAAGGCTTTCGTTCCACCGGCACCACATTTGCTCAGGCCAATCTACACCCCATGGCCATTAAAAGTTATTCAAATCATGACGCTGCACCCCACGGTTTAGGTTCTAGGGGGCGCCAAAGATAACCCTAAAATCCACATATTTAAAAGTCTTATAACTTTTTATTTTTGCCCTCACTAGCCTCCAATTTTTCTAGGATGATGCAATGTCCAGCCATCAACACATTTGTGAAGGAATTTTTACTCCCCAAAAGAGCGCCCCCCCATGGCAGGAGAAAAAAGTCCATTTTTTCTTGTCCCCTAAGGTGAAAATACACATTGTAGAGTGTCACGCCTGTACGCTTTGTCAAAATGACACAAAATTTGACATACATGTGTATTTCAATAAGATCTTCGAAAAAGTCAATGGCCACGCATCTGTAAAATGTACAGTTAAAGGGTTATTTCGCATTTTTTGCCGATCCGCACACATTGGAATTTCGCTAACTCCTCCGAAGGCTTTCGTTCCACCGGCACCACATTTGCTCAGGCCAATCTACACCCCATGGCCATTAAAAGTTATTCAAATCATGACGCTGCACCCCACGGTTTAGGTTCTAGGGGGCGCCAAAGATAACCGTAAAATCCACATATTTAAAAGTCTTATAACTTTTTATTGTTGTCCCCACTGGCCTCCAAGTTTTCTAGGATGATGCAATGTCCAGCCATCAACACATTTGTGAAGGAATTTTTACGCCCCAAAAGAGCGCCCCCCCATGGCAGGAGAAAAAAGTCCATTTTTTCTTGTCCCCTAACATGAAAATACACATTGTTGAGTGTCACGCCTGAACGCTTTGTCATATTGACACAAAATTTGACACACACGTGTATCTCAATAAGATCTACGAAAAAGTCAATGCGCGCGTATCTGTATAATGTACGGTTAAAGATCTATTTCGCATTTTTTGCCGATCCGCACACATTGGAATGTGGCTAACTCCTCCGAAGGCTTTCGTTCCACCGGCACCAAATTTGCTCAGGCCAATCTACACCCCATGGCCGTTAAAAGTTGTAAAAATCATGACGCTGCACCTCACGGTTTACGTTCTAGGGGGCGCCAAAGATGACCCAAATATACATTACAGCAGACAAAGTAGTTCTGCCCACTGAGTGGCGCCAAAGGGACTTGTCTATGGAGTCTGGCGGTCACTATTGGCCGTTTTTGACTACTTTAGATTTTACCTTTATATTTCCTCTTAAATTTTTTTTTACCTTGCCTTGCCTGGTATCATTTTTTTCAGCACAACCTCACCTGTGTTAATTTACCGTTATTTTATCATTTTGACATACTGTATTTACACAATGGACCCAAATTCACACACAAAACATAAAATCCGAGTGGAAAAAAGTAACATTTTTACTGTGAAAACCACAAATATGTGTGATGAACTGTTTTTAAAACTTAAACTTCAAATAAAAATTGTAAACTTCAAAACATATGCAAATTTTTAACAAAGAACATAGTAATTTACCTCTATTTACATCAAAATGCAGGCAATGGCCCAGGCGTTCTTTGTAAAATTATTTACAAAACACTGTATAGTCTCACAAATGTCACTTTTTATTTATGCCACAACAAAAAAACATGATGTAAATGATGCATGATGTAAAACATGATGTAAAAAACTTGTGTAGATCCTCCTCTATGTTAGTCCATGTGTATTTTTTCCATAATTCTTTGTTTTGTCCAGCATTTTTGTTAGTGTAACTGCAGATTGTGCTGACAGTGTCATGGCAAAAAAAAAAAAAAAAAAAAAAACTGAAAATGCCTCAACATGAACCCCCGGTGGTCTCTGAGGGTGAAACCTGCTAACTGCTGCAGCTCTGTCAGCTTCAGTCTCCCATGCAGAGCTCGGAGCGCATGTGTGGCTCTGCACCCTTAGCAGCGTTGCCAACTCCTCAGTAAGGAAAGCCTGCTTCATGTCAGAGTCTCTGAACTCCAGAAGAAGTTAATAAAATTCCCTTTCTTTCTAAAAAAAAAAGTCGTAAGGGGGGTCTGAAAAGTCATTGAATCTAACAACAAAGTCGCTAGGTTTGCAACTACGTGTCCCAGACTGCATCCCTGCTGAGAGTCCCTCCCTCCCTTCTCATGTTGCAGGAAGAAGGTAAGCGCCCGCCCCTTGTCAATCAGTCACCATATAATTTTGGATTGGTTGTTGTGGTGAAGTTTTCCACCAATAGGAGAGATGTTGTGGTGTGTTTCTTTTTTTTCTTTTGGCAACCCTTTTTCGCCTGTAAGACCTGTCGCTAATGTCTGCATGCTATGTTTTCCTGTCTCATACAGCGCGATCGAGCGCCAAACGTGATCAAAATAAGCAGAAAAAAAGCATCGCAGACATAATTTATCATAACTCTGGTTTTATTTGGCCTATCAACACAATTTAAAAACTGGTATATAGTTTAAGGTCCTCACTTTGGAGATAAGTTGAAACGGAGAGTCAACGAGGCTCTGTCTTGCAGCTACATCCGGTTAAATAAGTCATGTGACTTGAACGCACACACACACACACACACACACACACACACAGACACACACACACACGCACACACACACACACACACACACTCAGAGTCTGGTTTTTAGCACCTGCAAAAACATGCTATTTACATATTTGACAAGAATGCAGAGGCTCCTTTTGCCCCTGAAAAAAATCAAATTTCAAACACAACTTGACTGGTCATTTCTCCAAAAGACAACCATGAAGCTCCATCCAAACCTGAAGCAGGCAGTTGGTGCATGTGTACAGTAACCTGAGGGGAGTGAGGTGAGTGCTTCTGAGGAGAACATGAGCAGTGAAGATTCACCTTAGAGCTAGAACAGAGATGTGCACATGATTATACAGGGGCAGGGGCTCAAGTTTTTTCCAGTTGTTTATACAATATGGAAATTAATGTGAAATTAAAAAACAAAGTATTAATAGAAAGGTAATGACTGTCCTGAGTAGGTGACAGTGATATCCAATAGGCTAGGCACTCAAGAGGCTGGCTGTGGCAAGTGTAAGTGAAAGCAACACGCACTGGCAGGAAGAACAGCAAACGCCGATGAAGGAAAAGGGTCTTTGCAGTGATGGGCGTTACCAGAGAGGGCGATGGCCAGAGGACACAAATGGGACGGGGAGGCAGCGCGTTGGGGGGGGGACGCGACACAGCTCGGGCCCGCCAGTGCCCCAACGGGGTCCTAGTCTTTGTTTCTTCTTTCTTTCTTTCTTATTTTTCCTCCCCTTTGAACTGGAAAATGGCCCACTTCCCACTGGCGAAAACTCATGAAATTTGGCAGGATGACCGGGCCTGGTGAAAAATTTGATATTCCGAAGTCGCCCAAACAAGAAAATGCAAAATGGCTCCATAGCGCCCCCTAAGGTGAAAATTCACACTATTGACTGTCACGCCTTTACGCTTTGTCAAAATGACACAAAAATTGACACACACGTGTATCTCAATAAGATCTACAAAAAAGTCAGTGCGGGCATATCTGTCAAATGTACGGTTAAAGGGTTATTCCGCATTTTTTGCCGATCCGCACACATTGGAATTTCGCTAACTCCTCCGAAGGCTTTCGTTCCACCGGCACCACATTTGCTCAGGCCAATCTACACCCCATGGCCATTAAAAGTTATTCAAATCATGACGCTGCACCCCACGGTTTAGGTTCTAGGGGGCGCCAAAGATAACCCTAAAATCCACATATTTAAAAGTCTTATAACTTTTTATTTTTGTCCTCACTGGCCTCCAAGTTTTCTAGGATGATGCAATGTCCAGCCATCAACACATTTGTGAAGGAATTTTTACTCCCCAAAAGAGCGCCCCCCCATGGAAGGAGAAAAAAGTCCATTTTTTCTTGTCCCGTAAGGTGAAAATTCACATTGTTGAGTGTGACACCTGTACGCTTTGTCATATTGACACAAAATTTGACAATCACATGTATCTCAATAAGATCTACGAAAAAGTCAATGGGTGCATATCTGTCAAATGTACGGTTAGAGGGCTATTTTGCATTTTTTGCCGATTCGCACACATTGGAATGTGGCTAACTCCACCTAAGGCTTTCGTCCCACTGAAACCAAATTTGCTCAGGCCAATCTACACGCCATGGCCATTCAAAGTTGTAAAAATCAGGACGCTGCACCCCACGGTTTACGTTCTAGGGGGCGCCAAAGATAACCAAAAAATCCACATTTTTAAAAGAATCCACATTCTCCCCCCCCATGGCACGAGAAAAAGTCAAGTTTTTCCTGCCCATCGCTCAATGGCTCAATCGCATCACTCTCCAGGCAACACCGTAAGGAGGAGCAACCTGCCATTTGGATATATCCCAGCTGTGTTTGTGCCCTCACTCATGGTCCAGACTTTTTTCAAATAGGACATGAAGTTTGTCTGCAGCGAGTGTTTTGGTAGAAACTGCGCCTCCCATTCATTATAATGGGAAATGACCACAGACAAGTGCGCACACCATCTTTGGACCTTGAGTGTGACGCGATCGGGAGGGGGAGGCGGTCACGCTGGGGGCGGCACGACGCGGCTCGGGCCCGACAGTGCCCCACCGGGGCCCTAGTTAGGGCCCGAGCGTAGCTGCTAAGCAGCTGCGAGAGCCCTCTTGTTCCTGCATGTTTCCTTCTTTCGTTATTATTTTTCCTCCGCTTTAAACTGGAAAATGGCCCACTTCCCACTGGCGAAAACTCAGGAAATTTGGCAGGACGACCGGGCCTGGTGAAAAATTCGATATTCTGAAGTCGCCCAAACAATAAAATGCAAAATGGCTCCATAGCGCCCCCTAAGGTGAAAATTCACATGACGGCTGTACGCTTTGTCATATTGACACAAAAATTGACACACACATGTATCTCAATAAGATCTACAAAAAAGTCAGTGCGGGCGTATCTGTCAAATGTACGGTTAATGGGTTATTTTGCATTTTTTGCAGATCTGCACACATTGGAATTTCGCTAACTCCTCCGAAGGCTTTCGTTCGACCGGCACCACATTTGCGCAGGCCAATCTACCCCCCATGGCCATTAAAAGTTGTACAAATCATGACGCTGCACCCCACGGTTTACGTTCTAGGGGGCGCCAAAGATAACCCAAAATCCACATTCTTAAAAGTCTTATAACTTTTTATTTTTGTCCTCACTGCCCTCCAAGTTTTCTAGGATGATGCAATGTCCAGCCATCAACACATTTGTGAAGGAATTTTTACTCCCCAAAAGAGCGCCCCCCCATGGCAGGAGAAAAAAGTCAATTTTTTCTTGTCCCCTTACATGAAAATACACATTGTTGAGTGTCACGCCTGAACGCTTTGTCATATTGACACAAAAATTGACAATCATGTGTATCTCAATTAGATCTACGAAAAAGTCAAAAAGCGCGTATCTGTATAATGTACGGTTAAAGGGCTATTTCGCATTTTTTGCGGATTCGCACACATTGGAATGTGGCTATCTCCTCCTAAGGCTTTCGTCCCACCGATACCAAATTTGCTCAGGGCAATCTACACCCCATGGCCATTCAAAGTTGTAAAAATCATGACGCTGCACCCCACGGTTTACGTTCTAGGGGGCGCCAAAGATGACCCAAAAATCCACATTCTTAAAAGTCATTTTGGCCACTGCAGGAGTACAGAGTACTGCAGTTCTAGGGGGCGCCAAAGATGACCCAAAAATCCACATTCTTAAAAGTCTTTTTGGCCACTGCAGGAGTACAGAGTACTGCAGGATACACACACATATACACACACACACACACACACACACACACACTCACACACACTCAGAGTCTGTTTTTTCGCACCTGCAAAAACAAGCTGTTTACATATTTGACAAGAATGCAGAGGCTTCCTTTTGCCCCTGAAAAAAATCAGATTTCAAACACAACTTGACTGTTCATTTCTCCAAAAGACAACCATGAAGCTCCATCCAAACCTGAAGCAGATAGTTGGTGCATGTGTACAGTAACCTGAGGGGAGTGAGGTGACTATTTCTGAGGAGAACATGAGCAGTGAAGATTCACCTTGGAGCTAGAACAGGGACGTGCACATGATTATACAGGGGCAGGGGCTCAAGTCATTTATACAATATGGAAATTAATGTGAAATTAAACCACAAATATGTGTGATGAACTGTTTTTAAAACTTAAACTTCAAATAAAAATTGTAAACTTCAAAACATATGCAAATTTTTAACAAAGAACATAGTAATTTACCTCTATTTACATCAAAATGCAGGCAATGGCCCAGGCGTTCTTTGTAAAATTATTTACAAAACACTGTATAGTCTCACAAATGTCACTTTTTATTTATGCA